ACAAAAAGAGGTAGTGGGAAGTGTGTGGGGGAGGGGGAAAAGGGTGTCGGGGGGAAACTTTTTAAGGGGATGGTATAAGGCGGGTGCGGGGGGGAGTTGGGGGGGGGGGGGGGGGGGAGGGGGGGGGGTGGGGGGGGGGGGGGGGGGGGGAGGGAAGCAGGGGGGCTGGGGGGGGGGGAGGGGTTCAGGTGTTAAACCACAGAATGGCTTCCACTGAAAAAGTATGAAAATTTCCTAGAAAACAAATGCAAGAACAGATTTGAGCACACTAATAATGATTTTGAAGTGTACAGTAGTCAAGTACCTTAATTTTTTTGACAAGATTAGTTCGTAATGTATTGTTATAGGTCTCCCTACAGCTGTGCGTGATGTTACAGATAAATTATATTAAATTTCTACCTAATGGAATTGTTTTTGAAGGAGTGCAGTACACATGTAGTCATGGTTGTTTTTGTCTTCTTTTTCAAAGACACCCTTACCTCTCACTGTAGCTTTACTCTGAAATTATGTTAGTGTTACTATGGTTTTACTATGGAGGTAACCCAGGAAAAATTTTCCTGCTTACAGCATTTAATAATACTGTAAGCAGTAATCATAATACCATTGATAAAATCATTATCTAATAAACTTAGCCGCTGTCTGAGTAAAATAAACATTTTTTCTCAATTATCGTATTTATAATTCACGAGGAGGAATAAAAGGAATAGTTCCGAAGGAAGAGGTTTCGAAATTATTAGACCATGTTATAAATTTATTACCAAAAAATTTAGCAAAGTTTTGAAAACACTCGGAAACAGATTCAAATCTGTTACCAGTATTCAGAAACAACAACTTTGGATTATAAAAAATTGAGATGAATTGTCAAACTACCGTAAAATTCCAAAAGTAACAATCCTTCAAAAAAAGCGAACCTCTGAAAGTAGTACTAAAATGTCACAGGTGTTAGCAAATCCTGAAAGTGGCTATCCCCCCGAAAATAACGACCCTTCAAAAGTAGAGACCTCAAAACTAATTTCCCTTTTTGCATAAAATAATGGATATGATAGATATCCTGAACAAATGCCACACTGATCCGAGGTTTATTAATAACGATTGACATTCCTATTCATAACCTTAAAATACAGGATACACATTACCTTTTTTCAAAAAGTATTTCTTTCATATTTTTTTGCGATTTTATTTTTGAAGTGTCCATGTGGAGTACACGTTTTAGCCATCCGAAAGTAACAACCCCTCAAAAGTAGCGATAGCAGAAGGGTGCTACATCCAAAAATAATGAGGCTTGTTACTTTCGGAACTTTGCGGCATGTCTCTGTTTATTTCACATCTTCCCATTTGAAAATTCACCACTTTACAAAGGCGAAGGGGACTGGACCTGTAAGGTGTGCCGCAATAGACCTTTTTACCAATACGACGGCCATATTGAATTAATTCGATTTAAGGAGTATAATAGGATGCCCAGGGGGCATGAGCACATTTCGTTTGTCTTTTCGGGCACTTTCCGGGACATTTTTTCTTTAAGTTTTCTTAGAATAAGATTGTAATGAGAAAAAAGATTCTTGTGCCGTGTTTGGATGTAATAATGGTCGTCTTTTTCTAGTTTAGTATTAGAAATATGGTCTTTCACTGTATATTTCTCAGGAAAAAGGCGATCATTATTACATCCAAACACGGCACAAGGATTTTTTTTTCCCATTACAATCTTATTCTAAGAAAACTTTACGAAAAAATGTCCCGAAAAGTGCTCGAAGTACAAATGAAATCTGCTCATGCCCCCTGGGCATCCTATAATACTCCTTAAATCGAATTAATTCAATATGGCCGCCATATCGGTAAAAAGGTCTATTGTTTCTGGGATCAGTATGAGGGACGCACCGGTCAGCTATTGGCCAATTTTTTGTGCTGACCCCAGTAACAGACTTAGAAGTCTTTGTAAACCCGTACTCGGCCAAATTTCCTTCTCATTTCTATAGTAGCAAATGAGGGGAAAATTCAAGTCTTTTTAGTCTATACTAAAGCTTTTTTAAAAGATACTGAAGAGTTTCTTCATGCAAATATGGAATGATTTTCAGTGAGTAATAGTGAAGATAATTTGGCTGATTTTTGGCAATAATGTATATAATTCAGTGGATTTTTGGTAATAATGAGACAAAATAATTTAGTCTTAAAATAATGTTTGTGCATGTAGATTACGATAGCTCATTATTTACAGTCAGTTTTACCTTTAATGTGCCCACATGATGTAAGTAAACTATAATGGTGATCTTTTTTACTATTCTCTCCCAACTAGAAGAGCACAGCCATACACAGAACTTAATGTTTGAAAGATAAAGAGACTGAATTGAAGGCTATATTAACACTTTACCAGATCGTTTTTTGTGCTGACACAAAAAGCTATTGGCTACAGTATGAACCCCTATCTCATATGCGACTTTTCACTCTAGGGACAGGGTTCGTATTCTTGAAAAAAATCTTGAAATTAATTTGCCCAGCATTTTCCAGACCTGGAAAAAGCCTGGAAAATAGAGATCAGTATGGAAAAAAGGTAAAGAGTCTTGAGTTTTTTTTTCAAAGCTACAAGCAGCTGGCTTTATATGTTTTTTTCTTTTTGGTGCAATCTTATTCAGTTTCACCAGTATGTTTCCAGTGCATCATGAAAAAGGCTTTGTTCCTACGTTGTTTATGTCTCTTTTGATCACCTATTTTGATAACCTTGAGTCTGGAAAAGAAAAATTCTGAAAAAGTCTTGAATTTTGGATCCAAAAATCTGTATGAACCCTGTGGGGAACAGCAGTGCGTTGCAGCTTCACTCCTTTGTAGAGATCACCATTCTTATGTGTGAACTAGACTACGAGTAGTAGCGAAACGCGAGTGCGCGTGAAAATCACCCCACGCAAGAAAAGGCAACACGTGGCGGGGAGAGAGAAAAATGTGTGTGCGTGTCGCCTTTTCTCGCGTGGGTTGATTTTCACGCGCGCTCGCGTTTTGCTCGCTCTACTATCCCTGAGGAAAAATGGGGGACTACTCGTAGTCTATATGTGAACAGAAGCCCAAAGCAATCTGGTATAGTGTGAAGATAGCCTGAGACCACAAATTATATTTATTAGTGACTAATTACAACATTCAATTAAGAGATGTACTGTTGATAGTTTCAAAACATTATTTATTGTTCATAACAAAGGGAAGAAAGGTTTTTTCTTTGCTTTCAATAAAAATGTTGCAACGTAAAGTGTCTTTGAATGAATGTCCAAAAGAGTATAAACTTATGATTTCAGTCCAATATATGTATGGAATCAAAAAACTTCAGGGAATTTTTCTTCTCGTAAGCCTTTTTACAGAAATTTTCAATAACAAAAGCAAAACTAAATTTTCAAAACCATTTTCATAACAATAACAAATTTTTAATAGAAAATTATGAACATGGTAATAATTATTATTTTACAATAATCAGGTCTGTTTAAGGACCTGTCAATAAAATATATTTGAGTTAATTTCTTGAAAAAATATAATAATTCGAAATATGTTCTTTTCTTTGACGTAATAAAAATTCAAAAGCTAAAACTGACTTTACATGTAAAACACCAACATGTATATCAGAACCTTAACAAGCCTTAACACAAGTAATGCACCGATAAATGCTCATAAAAGTTTTTGATGTTCAATCCTATTTTGTGGCTAGTCTTTACACTGTATATCCCAGATTCTTCCAAAGTACAATGATCCAACAGGCCTTGCTATTGATGAGAAAAGTGACTTATTGATGTTGATTCGTGGAAGTTCTTTCTTTAAGACCTCAATTCCCTCTGTGTTCAGGAAGCCAAAAATTTCCAAAGATTTAAGTGATTTACTCTGACTGCACAAACTATTGAAGAGAACAAATGATTTGTATAAGTCAGTGAATTGATCAAACAGAGAATGCATTTGAACAAACAACACTGAATAAAGACAAAATAAACAAACTCAATACTGGTAACAAAACTAACCCCTTCCTATTTTCAACTCTGAATTTTCAGCGGTGCCTTTTATTATGCTGTGTAAATTGACCTTTCCACAGTTTTTTTCAACTTTTTTCAAGGACAAGTTAGGGAAAATCTGTTGACTCCGATGAAAAAGCCCAAAAGATATCCAAGTTTAAAAGTGATTTGTTGAAAACTAACAGATTTAACTCCTCAAAGTTTGTATTGTGGGGGGCATAAACTTGCTACAAGCTCAGGGGTCAGCAGAGCGAGGTTATTGTTTTTTTTTTTAGTTATCCGATGACAATTTACTTAAGTTTTTTCCTTATCGCACACTCGCCCCCAAGTAGTTTTCTTTGCAATGTTTACAAGTTTCATGTTTAAGTAAATTACAAACCTATTAACGGCAGCTTCACCTTTAGCCTTGGCTAAATATATACAGTCAAACCTCTATTAAGTGTACACTAAGCCGGGTTCCAAAATTATATTTCCCCTTATAAGAACCCCTATTCAGCAGACACCTCTATTAAGCAGACGCGGACACTAAAATAAATTGTATTTGGTTAATTTCTATTGTTAATAACCTCTATTAAGCGAATACTGGACAGAATTGACCATAGTAGTTTTGGATTATGTCCTTGAAATAGGTGCTGTAGTCGATCAATAAACATAAATCAACACATTTAGCTGTCAATAAACTGTAGATTAGACCGAAAGTCTTGCACAAAGTACAGCACAGCTTCCTTAGCTTCCTTAACAACATGGAACTTTATCACAGTATGGAGTTCACAGTAAAGAGTAACTGTTGAAAGTCAATCGTTAATAAACATTGCACAATTTCCACAAACCTCTATTAAGTGGACGGACACTTGGGAAGGTCCAGAAGGTGTCCACTTAATAGAGCTTTCACTGTTTATTATATGAAAATAAAATAATTATTTGTTTTTACCTGAAGGCTGCAGGTGGGATGCTGTAACATCTACTAAGACTCAATTTAACAAGTTTTCCTAGTTTGAGAATTTGTGCCAAGGATTTTCCTGTTAAATTAAATGCATCACTGAAAAAGAGAAAGAATAAAAGGTATTTATTTATGTATTATCTTCCTGTTTATCATCTGATAACAGAACACTAGATAAAAAATAAAATATGTTTTCTCTATTTAATCAATTCCAATAATCAATAGGCAAATCTTGGTCACATTTCTTGCCTCATAACATGAGCTGTATAGATCCCTGATCAAGCTGTTACAATAACTCCAAAGAATTAAAAGAGTTTGGCAATAATTAGTAATGGTTAAAACATTTTAGTCCGATGTACCAAAATACTGCAGTCTCGGAGTAATTCTCTTAAAAAAAAAAACTCAAAATTGAACAAATGTTTGGCTTAGTAACACTTTAGCCATCCAGCAATTTTGCACTGTTTTGGACGACTGCCATTTCCTTTTGGTGAAAATTGCTAAGTTGAACAGCTCTTTTAACTTTTGAGCTTGACAGTGACTTCTTCTATTTGCTAAGTCATATGGTAACAAGCAAACATTTTTAACTATTGTGTCAGCAAAATTCTGCCTACAACCATCCAAAACATTATCAGTTACCTGAGGTCTAAGTGAGTCAGATTAGGACATGATTTAACCAGCTGTTTAACACCTAACATAAAAAGCAAACAGGAGTGTAAGTGAGATCTCTGCTGTCATTGTATATAATTATGTCAGTAGCACTAGTAACCCACTAGTAACCTGGTTGAAAAGACTAGTGGAACAAAGTTTAGAAACAATTCGACAGCAAAAAATAGTGCTATGTTTAAGGTTTTAAAAGTATTAGTTATAGAGAATGGGATTTCTTTGATTTGATTTTTTTCCAGGGGATTTAAATGTAGGCTTCCTTCCTACCCAAACAGTTTATTTTGGGGTAGTTGAAATTTGTTCCCACATGCAAACTTGCATCTTGAGTAACTGCTGGGCAGAGCTGTGCTCTAGTAGAGGCCAGTGTCCCCTGGTTTTTGCTCTCAGGGGACTGAAAATTGTAGTTTTTTTAAAAAATAGAAATCATATGCTGGCAACCCAGATTTTACAGGTTAAGATCACTGGGCTCTCTTCAATTTTCCTTAGAGCACAGCCTTGCTGGAAGGTAGCGTGGCAAATGCAAACCTGAAACCTGCAAATAACACACCACCTCACCCCTCTAAAAATAATATTATTAAATTAATGATAAACAAGTCCATGGTTAGACTTACAGTCATCAGTGAGTGTGTCCCTGCATCCACTCAGATTAAGTTGTTGAAGCTTTGGCAGATTTTTAATGACATGTAAGATTGTTGCCTTGGAGAGATTTGTCCAGGCTAGATTTAGTTCCTTTAGTCTGAAATGAAAAAAAAAATTAATAAAAATATACTTGAAAGCATTCAGGGATTTCAGCTATCAATAATTATAATATCCCATGTGATTCCTAATATTAATAATTATTATTGTTCCCACAGAAAACTGAAATTAACTTTATGCTCATGTATGTACATGAGAACTGTGTAAGTTTGTTTTATGAGTTTGGATGGTACATGTAATTATGTTGACCGTGGTACAGAGAGCAATATTATTAGGACGACACACTTAGTCCTAGAAAAACAACTGCATTTTATTTTCAGATGTTGTATGGAGAGCTATGCAAGTTTTCCAGCTGTACATTTCATTTTAACTTTTCAACTTTGTAAATGGCTGTGTCTTCACTATTGGACCAATAATCACTAGATTTGGGGATTTTGTCAAGCTTGGTGTGATCATTGTGACTTTGAGGGTTTGGAGTTAATAATCACAAAATACAGGAAACCAGGCAAATGGAATAAATCATTTTGTCAAGAGGTTAGAAAACACATGGGTTCAAAAGTGAATTGTGTTTTGTAGTTTTATGAAATTACCTGGAATTTTTTCCACCAGACTTTACTAATGAGCACATTCCTGTGACCGTTAAACCAGTGCACATGGCAAGATTCAGAACTGTCAGGTTGCGAAATTCACTGATTGCTCTGAAAAAAAAAACAATAAATTTATTTAAAATAGTAACTCTTTCCTTCTGCTACCGTCATTACATCACAGTGTCAATATAGGAATTATTTTTATAAATTTAAAAAGAAGATACATTCAGTTTAATTATTATTACATTTAATCCTGTATAATTCAGTGGACTCACTTTAGTACTCTTACAGAGATGGCACATGACTCCAAACTAAGATGTGTTAACTGCTTTGAGTGCTGAAATTCCAATGAAGAGTAACATGTAAGAAAACATAAAATTAATACAGTCAAACCTCACAAAATCAACCACCCAAAATGCAAAAACTTAAAGTGGTCACTTATGGGCGGTAATCATTAATTTTGTAGGATTCATGCCACAGGGGGTCTCTTCTGAGAAGAAGTCCAGACTCATCTACTTTCAAAGATGATTTATTGCAGGCAATTTTTGAGTTGCACTATGTGTAGTTCCATGTTGCCGCAAAAAGGTCTTCCTTTACTTGAAGTTAAAGTAGTATAGTTCATGCAACAAACATAGAGATTAGACTATGTGTCAAGTAGTTTATAGGAGGTTAAAAACAATGGAAAATTATTTTAACTGTCAGCCATAGCATTAGAATTTTCATGACTTACCATGATCAGGGAGAAAAGTGTGTCATTTTCAAAGGAACAGCACGTAGCATCCAAGTACCTCAAGCTGAACATGGAGTTACTTAAAAAAAGAAATTTTAACTACAGTTAAGTTATTAAATACATGCATTCAGCTCCTTTTACTGCAAACACCCTTGGCACTGTGAGTTAGTGTCTTTTATAGTGAGAGCAATAGCAGAGGGAGTGAAGGAAATTAAATTTTTTTAAAAACCATTTGCATTAAAGAAGATTATGCACTAACTTGTAAAGTAAATTATTTTGATTGATGTGCAATGTACATCCCAACATCCCAACAAAATAATGCGGATAGGTCAGTAAAAGGTGGATGAAATTTGGTTCTCAATGTTGGCACTGAAGGCATTAGATGATAGTAAGTTGTAGTGAGAGCAAGAACAAGGAAATTGCTTTTATGGAACTTTACAAAGAGTCTGTAAGTCTTACGGCAAGAGTCCTCAAAAATGAGAGTTAGTTTTAGTTGAAAGTCAGTAACTTTTACTGGGGATTTAAGTGCCTGTCCTTATAATCAGGGTGTCTGTAATAGTATGGTGTTCACAAAGCGACAGCTTGACTATGCGTTTGTTTGTGAAGATCTATAGACCAATAAAAATATGCCTAACTATATCACTTTGAATTGTGAGCACAATTATTTAAATGACTTTTTACAAAGAAATACTTCCTGCTTTACCTGGGAGATTCTGGTGATAAAGGAACTATGTCTGGAAATGATGAATTATCATCATGATATAATGGTGATGCAACCTGAAATTAGTGAATGACCTGCAAGTTAGAGTGTACATGTACTAGGCGTTCAGATAGTGGAGTGCGGCAAAGTCAGAGAGCAGGACAAAAAATAAGGAGATAGAGTGGAGAGGGAGCACGGAGGAATGTCATTCCTTTGCTCTCACCACCTACCCCTCCCCTAGCTGTTTTTCCTGCTCACATCTTTTTGCGCCATCCCCACAACCTGAATGCTGTACAACAAATAAATTTATGTCCACTGTGAGCAAGTGAAAAGGTACCTGGTAAATGATACTGGTAAAACAAATTTAAATTTAAGAATGAGTTGCTTTACAGCTGTACGTTACAAGCACTTTGGGTGTAAAAACGTTTAGGACATGAGCATAAGATTTGAGAAGAACACAAAAAAACCTATTTAATAGAAGTTCTGTGCTTTTGTGAATAGTTAATCTGGCTTACTTTCCCCTTGAAAAAAATTGTAGTTCCTTGTAGTGTTCTTTTTTCCCTTGTCCTTTCTATTTTTTTTAAAGGTTTTTCCTCAAAGATGAATAACAAAAGCACACCTTTGCTTGAGCTAAGCGCAATACTCTAGTGCCACGTTTCAAAACTTTTCCTAACAGTCCTGAAGGTAGGTTAGCCTTTGTCATATCTACACATCTCCAAAGACTTTCATCATATCTAAAGAAAAAAAATATCATGATTTCACATCAACAACCCGCAGCAAGATTTGTTTCATAAGACAAAAATATGTACTGACGGTGGTTTTCATGTCATGGTTACCACTAATCAAAATATACAGTTACCTGTATGAATAAAACAGCCAACAAGCCAATATCAGAGAAAAAAGCTAATGGGAGTAGCTGTTACACCAAGCCTGTGCTCATAACTTATTATTAGAAAGCAAAGTTGTCTCCAAAAGTTTTTGATAAAAAATGATTTCCTTTGTGCATGCTATTTAGGATATGACTGATCTGACTGGATAGCGTTGTTTAAAAGTGAAATTCTCATTACNCACCTTTGCTTGAGCTAAGCGCAATACTCTAGTGCCACGTTTCAAAACTTTTCCTAACAGTCCTGAAGGTAGGTTAGCCTTTGTCATATCTACACATCTCCAAAGACTTTCATCATATCTAAAGAAAAAAAATATCATGATTTCACATCAACAACCCGCAGCAAGATTTGTTTCATAAGACAAAAATATGTACTGACGGTGGTTTTCATGTCATGGTTACCACTAATCAAAATATACAGTTACCTGTATGAATAAAACAGCCAACAAGCCAATATCAGAGAAAAAAGCTAATGGGAGTAGCTGTTACACCAAGCCTGTGCTCATAACTTATTATTAGAAAGCAAAGTTGTCTCCAAAAGTTTTTGATAAAAAATGATTTCCTTTGTGCATGCTATTTAGGATATGACTGATCTGACTGGATAGCGTTGTTTAAAAGTGAAATTCTCATTACCACAGGAAAGGCCTGGCTGGTCAGATCTGACAAAAGGAAAGTGCCCGAAGAGTGACTAAGGGAGTGACCAAAATCAATTTTCTCCTGACATGACATCCATACATTGTCAAGAGATTAGGTTATGAGAAGTAATAAAACGATCACCAAGGAGAAAATGCCTTGTTTGTTTATCGAATTCTTTGAACCAATCCTGTAAGGAAATGTATGGAGATCAGTTTAGAGAATTTGTATGTGGATATTGGGGCTTAAAGGATTAAATGGGAATTGAACAGCTTTTTCATGTAGGAAGATCTTTTTGTTCTGTTTTCCTTTTGTATCCTGGAGTCAAGGGTGGCGCAGTGGTGATAGCACTCGCCTCCCACTCATGTGGTGCAGCATGGAATCCTGGTGTCGATGCCATATCTGGGTTGAGTTTGTTGTTGGTTCTCTCCTTTGCTTCGAGAGGTTTTTCTCTGGGTACTCCAGTTTTCCCCTCTCATTCAAAACCAGCAACTCCAAACTCCAATTCGATCTGGAATCCACGGACATGTTTCAACGAGTTCTCATGAACTCCTAAGTGCTCCGTGGGTAAACAAATTTATTACAATTGCAATTTAGTAACTGGGACAAATCCCCAGCCTTTGGCCTATAGTGACAGCCCTGACAGCTGACGAAAAGCATATTTAGAGGCAAGCGGCTCAATTTTGAAGCAGGCAGCTGGTTTGAGTAGAGTGGTTATTGAAAACACGACACTACTTACGCTAATCTATGCCAGTGCTTACAAACACGTGCACACTTGACTATTGTTTTCTTTGGCAAGAGTTGGAAGATTGCCAATATAATTTCATCTGAGAGTGATATCCAGTAATCTTCAAAGAAAACAGAGAAAACCACCATGAATGTCAGAGGGAAGGAAATGTAATGAGAAAAAGATAAATGATGTTTAAAAAATTATAAGACTGATGTGATGATGATGATGATGATGAAGGTAATGAAAAGTATGATAATACTGATGATGATAGTGATAGTGATGATGACGAAGAAGAAGAAGAATCTTTATTTAATGAGAGCAGAGACATTATTACTGGTTGCAGAACCGGGGTAATTTTCATAATGGCCCTCCACCCAGGGCTCTTTGGTGTTACTATTAGTCATGCAGGTCAATTCTTACTTGTGGTAGGCTTATAACTTTGGATTGCCGTGATATTTTCTTGTCTGTTCTGTGAACAATCATTACATCCTTCCCTGACTGAACCACTTTTCCAACTGCCTCTGTGAGATGGCTGACCAGTAGATGTTAATTTTGCTACTAAAGATGACGTCCTACCCAAGTGACTCACAACAAACTTGTGACTGGGAGCCTAATGAAGGAAATGATGAATGTTGCACAAAATTAATACACAGTCAAAGAATTCCTAGGGGGGATCAAGGACTTAGCATGAGATTTTGAAGGTGTACACATGGGAAGAAATGAGAAGGATGCCGAAGGCAGTTCAAACTAGGGGGTGCATGGCAGCATGCTTCCTCAGAAAATGTTCAAATTTAGGGTCTCGGCAATAAATAGAAAGGAAAATGCAGTGGTTAGTTGTTTATTTTACCTATCCCTTGTGTTATCAGTGGGTAAGGCTGCAAGGGCGAGAGGTCTACCCTTCAGATGGGCAAAGACGCCAATTTAAGGCGAAAAAGTCATCAGTCATTGTGTTTTAATGATAGAAATACTTTCAGGAAATAAAAGGTGTATATTGTCCAGATTTTAGCTGTACTCATAGGTGTATGGGCGTATATGGACGCTATGCTCCTGGGAATCTCATATGATGTTGTGCTACTGCTGTGCCAAACTGAATTGATCAAATTAAATTCGACTTTAGCATGGCAGTATTGCCACGTTTGAAACCAAGTTGTGCTACTGTCGTGTAGCACGGCAAGCCTTGCTTAACACAGAGATGAGTTGGAACTAGCCTTCGTAGCAGGCGTCAAAAGGTGTAGGGGATTTGGGGGAAGGGGACTTTCACCCAGGCTAGGTTGAAACTGGGACATTGACAGAAAAAACCGCGCATACAATAGTGAATACCAACAACAACATGGCTTCCTCCCCAATATGCAAATCAACAGGTTTTGAAATTCAGATTAGGCACATACATAACCTCTCTTAAGAGGCCCTCATTCTATAATTTGTAAAAGAATAAACAAGCTTAACAAACAAATACCTATAATAAATAAATAAATAAAATTCATTTTCAAGGAATTGCCCACTCACTATATTAAAATTTCAGCTGTATTTCTGGCTTTGTGCATAAAAGGTTTTTTTTTTAATTTGTGGTTAACTTTGTTCATTATTCTACGAGTTGGCGGGAGACAAGTCGCATGATTAATATTTGACCTGGAGAGAGCTGGTATGCTCTGTAACTCCGTTCGCTGCTCTTTTTACGCCTTGGTAAAAGTACGCCCGATTCTATTTCATGACAATGAAATTGTCCGCTTATTAATAAACAATAAGCAGCGTTCCATTCAAAGAAAGGAGTGAATAGACAATCATGTAGCAGATCATCACCGAAGGAGGTCCATTGAATGGCGGGAAATGGTAATTTTCCTCGCAGCATTGCCAAAAATATCGCTATAAAATAGCTTGAAATAATCAAAAGAGTTCATATTATGAAGATATTTATTCATGAACTGTGTATTTACCTGCAAAATTGAGTGACGATTTAGTGGGTTTACTCGAATGATTTCCTGGCTCAACTCTCTTTCATCTTCAGCAGGCCACTGGAGCTCTTCAACGCCAAGTTCTTTGTAAGTCGAAATGGCCTTCGATCTGTATAAAAGCAAGTTTAATTTACACTGTTACAGATATTTGCGTCTTTGTACTGTTAAAGTACTAAAACTCACCTGGTTCTTACGGGATTTCTCCTACGATCTTTCGTTCGCGCGGCGGCCATGGCAGCATCGAAGACGAATTTCCCGCTCCGATATAGAACAACGAATGACAACAAACTTTCGCTCACCAAAACGAGGCAAGATCTTCTGGAACGCGGGACTTGAACTTTTGATTTGAAGGAAAATGGATTCGTGCAGCTTTCAAGCGGAACATAAACTTTAACTGTAATAGTAAACAAATCTTTGAATAGTATTCCGCTTGCATTTGAAAATAATAATTTTTATTGCATTACTGTGTTTTAAATCCCGAAGAACTGCACACGACACTTCAAATAATTCTTCCTCAGACAGGCCTGTAACTGTCTGTGCCGTTCTACTTGTAAAATTTTAAAGTAGTTTTCATTTTATAACTTCGATTGGATTCCCACAACATGACTGCCATTTACAATGAGCAATAATTGTGTAAACGATAGTTCCGTATTCGCGTGTCAAAAACGTGGATGGAGTAAATTGAGGAAAAATTGGAATATGTCTATTGTGGGAATGTGAAAACGAGAATTGAGGCACGCGGACGGAGGTTTGCGGTTTTGCGTTGCACTGGGGCTCGCCCCCAACTCCTCCTTCTGTCTGAAATTGTGCTAAAATTTTTAAGATCTGCTTTCTGGGGCCTTTATTTCGGACAGAGATGATCTCAGAGTTTTTTTTTTTACCCAATAAACAAAATGGCATCTACAAAGCTTGCAAATCTTTCTGAATTTTTTTGATCCGCCCCAGCCTAGCCTCTGGTTGGAAGAGTTAAAATTAGATTTCAATTTATGACTTTAATGGTTTTGTATAAAGGTTAAGATTAAATAATAATAATAATAGTAACAGTAATAATAATAATATTTGGAAGGGCACAGTTATCAGCCATCCTTAGTACTGCCCATATCTTGCGGAAAGTGGTAGATCTCTAAGCTGCGGGATTCCTGCTGAGACATGGCTGAGAATCACAACATAATCAATAATAATAACAATAAAACTGGGATGACATAACAGCTCAAGCCTCAAAGGCGCGATAGGGGACGAGGTTTCTTCGATGAGAATCAAATGCAGAGCTGTGACTAGGGGTCGGGCGGGGAATTTTCTCCCGGCTAGTTTTACAGGAAGAAAAAGGTAATTTGAATCAAAAGAACTTCCTAGCTGCTCAGTTCCCCGCCTATTAACTACACATACCCGGAAAATTCAAATTTTGGTGAAAACCCCTGGGAATGGGATATTTTTGTGACTAGGAGTGAGATTTGACGTAAACTTATATCTATAAAAAAGGAGGGAAGAATGGGAAGAGGAGTCTCGCTTAGGACCCTAAATTACAAAAAAAACGAAAAAAGATTTTAGCGAAAGGAAAATTATTGCACATTCTTGGTTGATATAAGATACCCCTTGTCTTTGATTTTTGAAAGATAGTCAAGGGAGAGAGGTGTCAAAGATGGATTATATTGAGGTGGATTGAGTAAATTTCAGTGGGGTAGGCAAGGCAATTATTGAACTACAATGGAGGCGAGCAAAACATGTTTTTCCTTGTCTCGACCTTACTATTCCAGAGCCTAGAACAGACTACACACCTTTTGACTTAAAAAGGTCTGAAACAATTTTTATGTGAAGCAATATTTAATTTTCACTTTCCAACGTGCAAAGGCAGGACAAGGGAAGAAATTCCCCAGCTGGTCGTCTCGTCCAAAAAGATCAACTTCTTTTCGTCATCTCGTCCTGCATCGACAAGATAATCAGCTCTTTAGTCTTGACACAGTTCTTGCATCTTTCGCAGTTCTCGCTATAACTGTACAAGAGAGTGTGCAAGACTAGATCTTGCTTGCTGGCATTCCCTTAGAATATTTAGTCTACTGACAAAACCAAAAACTGCACGGTTTTTTCGAGACATCAATGAAAGTTTTTAAGACAGGTTCTCGTTGAAACGCTTAATCACGTTGCTTGGCAACCGCCTGGATAACGGGCTGATGAAGTAACACTTATTTGATTCAACGTGTTTATCGTCACCAGACTCCCGCCAGTGACGCTAATTGAGTGCATGAACAATCATCTATCCTCATTTTTCTCTCTCCTGGCTGCCTCTTTCACATTTTCTCTTCTTGCAGCGGCTCTTTCCTCAGATTTAGCTGAGAATAAAAAAATAAAACAGTTTACTTTTTTAGCTCCTTTTAGCACCGTGCGTTTGAAACCTTGTACTCCAAGAGATAACTGAGATTGTAACTACAACGTTTTTGGACAAAAAATGAACAAATTAGAGAGAAATAAAATTACAAACGATAGCTACTGAGTAGTACTTTCTCGTGGTACTTTTAATTATGATGTTAACTTTTCAGTCTTCGGATAAACTCGTAAATGTGACTTTTCAGAAGAACGTTATTGAAAGGTACTTTGGAACTGTGCTTTATTTACCGTCAATGATCGAGTAAGCGCGCAGCGCTTATTTCATTTTCCCTGTTAAAGATGCGGCGCTTATTTTAACTACGGGAAAAACATAGAGGAGAATATAGAGAGAATTAAGTGAGGCGCGTTCTAGGTATGCTCAATTTAATATAAATTATGTATACCTCGAAATGTTTTTTGAACCCGGTTTCAAGAGTTTCCCTACATTAGAACTTTAGAACTCACGATTTGGTCGAGGTCTTATCTCTCAAGCGATGTGGTTTTGATTATACCAAGCATGATAAGGTGGGGCGTAAGTACCCAAATTAGCACCGCGGCGCTCATTCGAGAGCGGCGCTTATTTAATTACTTTCGGTAAAGGTGCGGCGCTTAATCGACCATTTACGGTATATGGCTGAATCCGCGAACATGAAACCTCTTGTGGAGGAGTCAGCTACCGGCTATGACTGGAGGGCGATCATTGAAAACAAGTGAATCCGGAAAGTTTTAAGTTCATTGTTCCACTGATGAGTTGGCTTAAGTACTTACCAATGCGAGAACCAATGAAGGAGTAACTTTTGCTTTTTCTGTACGCTTCAAAGGGATCGTTCATTTCACTTCCAACTCCCTGAGAAGTGACAAAAATGATCATTAAACTAATGTTATGGTTCATAAAAAGCAACTGGTATTTTCTAAGTTACGAGTCTGATCTGTAACAAAAAAAAACTTACAAAATAGGACAAAACACTTAGAAAAGATCTGAGGGGTCCGTTTCTCGAAAGTCCCGATAATTAACGGGCCCGGTAAGCTGTCTCCGTTTACATTAAAGTTCGACGTTTCAATAGTTTTGCATCTAATATGATAAAACTATTAGCTAATGAACAAAATGGAGTAGTTTGCTAGCCAGGACCCGCGCCCTTATTCTTATATTTCGATTTGAATATTTGATTTCGGGCCCGAAAAGTTACCGGGACTTTCGAGAACCGGGGCCCAGCTGGCCCGGGTAACACAAGCGTTGGATAGCGCTATCCACCGGACAAATCACTATCCAGCGGATAAGTATTTCGAAAACCAATTGCGCTTTTCACTAGCAGCGGGGCGTCCTTCCGTATTCCCCCTCCCACCCCCATACCTGCAGGAGCTCCGGGAGATAAATGCGGGGGATAGCGTTGCCCGCTTTTCGAACAACTAAGCCCTGTTGGAAACAACAGTGGACCCTCACCTTGTACTTATCAAACTTATCCCGAACCTCCCCCCCTGATATCGGATCACTGATTCCTTGCTGGCTTCTCCCCAGGCCTGCTCCGCCCCATCCTGTAAAAATAAAAATATATATATATATAAATTAATTAATAGATCAATAAATAAATATTACGCTAAGCAGGCAACTATAGCGACAGCAAGTTAATTTCAAAACTGTAGGGTTAAAAATTCGGGTGTTTGTTTAAACATGAAATGTTTTAGTCGATTTGTGTGGGCTATTATGAGGGTCCCCAACAAGGTTATTCAATTCAGTCATTCCGACCNGTGGACCCTCACCTTGTACTTATCAAACTTATCCCGAACCTCCCCCCCTGATATCGGATCACTGATTCCTTGCTGGCTTCTCCCCAGGCCTGCTCCGCCCCATCCTGTAAAAATAAAAATATATATATATATAAATTAATTAATAGATCAATAAATAAATATTACGCTAAGCAGGCAACTATAGCGACAGCAAGTTAATTTCAAAACTGTAGGGTTAAAAATTCGGGTGTTTGTTTAAACATGAAATGTTTTAGTCGATTTGTGTGGGCTATTATGAGGGTCCCCAACAAGGTTATTCAATTCAGTCATTCCGACCCAAATTTTCGTGCAATCCTGTAATCCTGATGATCACTTTTGGCATCCCGCATTGCGCTCGCATCCCGAGCACCCGGGGGGGGGGGGTCTTCCTAGTAGTACTGTAGGCTAATGGGTATGTGCCGCTGGATGGGGTCGCATTTTCACGACTGGGTTGACTATTATGGGGTTGCATTTTTATGAGAGTACCTACAATAGGGTCGCACATTTTCGGGATTTTGGGCGTCAGAAAAATCAGGTATTTAGGGATTTCAAAATTGAAAGATTTACACTACCATAATCAAGTTTAACAAATGTGTCGGTTCATTTCAGGATGACTTAGTTAAAAGGCTTTATAAAGTAGATGCACAAACAGAAAGTTACTAAGTTGGGATCTCTAATACCGCGACAAAATAGACTATAATGGGGTAAGGATTCTGAGAGGCCAGCGGCACATACCCAACAAAAATTAACCCAAGTAACCCCCTCCTCCCGGGGACCGAAGCATAATGTTAATCCCGAATCTCGCCCCCATTTTGCTTTAAAATTCTGCATCATGGCTTTCAAATAAGGGAAATCCGGCATCTCGAAAAACCCTACTGGAGAGCTTCTATTTGTGTGGTGATAACAGGCATTATTTTAACAACTCACCCATTTTCTTCAGCATCTGATGTCCTACATTACTCTCATCAAGCCTTTGCTCGGGTACCTTGGATGTGTAAGTT